TTTAGGGTTTAGGGTTTAGGGTTTCGAGTTTAGGGTTTAGGGTTTAGGGTTTAGGGTTTTGTGGTGTCTAGGCAACTCGGAGACTGGATGCAGAAGAGCTGCAAGCAGAAGAAGAAGGAGAAAGGCTCATCGATGATAACGCCGATGATGGTTTTGTATTTGGCATGAGGTGAGAAAGGGTTTAGGGTTTAGGGTTTACGAGGGTTTAGGGTTTAGGGTTTACGAGGGTTTAGGGTTTAGGGTTTAATTCGGTTACTTGGGGTTTATTAGTGTTTATACGGGTTTAGGGTTTAGTAGGGTTTATTCGAGGTTTCTAGGGTTTACTAGGGTTTATAAGTGTTTATGAGGGTTTACTAGGGTTTACGAGGGTTTAGGGTTTACGAGGGTTTAGGGTTTACGAGGGTTTATTGTTTCCTAGAGTTTATTTTTTTCTCTGTTTTAACACCCAAAACAAAAAAAAATAAAACCCCCCGCCGCTAAACCCTAAACCCTAAAAATAAAAAGTAAAAACAAGCAGAACCAACCAACCCCTTTCCTCTTTTTATTTTATTTTATTTTATTTTATTTTATTTTATTTATAGAGATGCAGAGAAAGAAGCAGCAGCATTCTACGCTGCGGGTTTAGACGCAGACCAAGACGATGAGGGTTTAGTTGACGATAGCGAGATAACCCTAAACCCTAAAAAAGAAATAAAAGCGAGAAGAGCAGCAGAGAGACATATAAAGGCCAGAGAAAGGCTCATGCAAACCCATGCAGCTGATAGAAGAGATGTATGGCAAAGGCTACTCGGTAAACCCTAAACCCTCGAAAACCCTAAACCCTCGAAAACCCTCGAAAAAACCCTAAACCCTCAAAAAAAAACTAAACCCGAAAAAAAAAAAATAAACACGAAAAAAAAAACTAAACACAAAAAAAAAACTAAACCCGAAAAAAAAAAACCCTAAACCCTAAACCCTGAATTTATAAACCCTAAACCCTCAATGTTGTTTTTTAATATAATAAAAAAGGAGACAGTTGTTTTGTTTTTGTCTCCCTATAAACCAACCCTCATTTGTTTATATTGATTTATTTATTTATTTGTTTATATATTTATATTTATTTATATTTATTTATTCTTATTTGTTCATATTTATTTATTTATATTTATATTTATTTATTTATTTATTTATTTATTTATTTATTTATTTATTTATTTATTTATTTATTTAAAAACAAGAAAACGAAGCAGCTGAGATGGAGCGGCTGCAGCAGCAGCAAATTGATGGTTTTTTTTTCTTTTTTTTCCGTTTTTTTTAATAAATATAAATATATTTATTTATTTCTTTTTATTTATTTATATTTATTTATTTTTATTTATTTGTTTATTTATTTAAACAGAAGAAGATGAAGACGAAGCAGCTGAGATGGAGCGGCTGCTGCAGCGAGTGAAGCAAATTGATGGTTTTTTTTCTCTTTTTTTTCCGTTTTTTTTTATTTTTTTTTTGTTTTATATTTATTTAATTATATAAATATTTATTTATTTATATTTATTTATTTATTTATTTGTTTGTTTATTTATGTAAACAGAAGAAGATGAAGACGAAGCAGCTGAGATGGAGCGGCTGCTGCAGCGAGTGAAGCAGCGGCGGCAGCAAATAAACAAAAATGCAGCACAAGCAGAAACCATCAATTTAAGAAACCTACAACAAGCAAAAGTAATTTATTTATTCTATTTTATTTATTTTTTTATTTATTTTTTTTATTTTGTTTATTTATTTTATTTATTTTATTTAGTTTTATTCATTTTATTTATTTTGTTTTGTTTATTTTATTTATTTTTTTTTTTTGTTTATTTTGTTTGTGCAATTTAAGAAATCTACAACAAGCTAAAGTAATTTATTTATTTTTTTATTTATTTATTTTTTTTATTTTTTTTATTTTTTTTTATTTATTTTGTTTATTTATTTTATTTAGTTTTAGTTATTTTATGTATTTTGTTTTGTTTATTTTATTTATTTATTTTTTTTGTTTTTTTTTGTTTATTTTGTTTGTGCCATTTAAAAAACTTACAACAAGCAAAAGTAATTTATTTATTTTATTTTATTTATTTATTTTATTTATTTTGTTTTGTTTAATTTTGTTTTGTTTTGCTTTATTTATTTTATTTATTTTTGTCTTATTTTTATCTTTATTGTATTCATTTTGTTGTTTGTTTGTTTTATATATATATATATATATATATATATATATATATATATATATATATATATATATATATATATA